AACGGAAGATGAAGGACGAAACTACAAGGGACGTCTTCACGTCAACCAGCCATCAAGACGAAATGGGAGATATCGAGCAACATCCTGAAGAAACCTGTGTGGATGAGCACTGGAACTCTTTGAAAGCTATATGGAAAGAAACCTGCATAACCGTATTAGGAAGGAAGAAGAAAGAAAATAAGGAATGGAATGGATCTCAACGGACACGTGGAAGCCCATAGAGCAGGGAGAGGCGGATGGTGAAGCAGAAGATAAACCAGTGCAGTACAAGGATGAACAACAAGAAGAGGAACTGGGTACAAAGTATAAAACACTGGACAAAGAAGTGAAGAAGAGTGTACGTAAAGACAAAAGACACTTGCACGACACATTGTATCAAATAACAAGCTTACTATCTGTGAAGAGATCAATACAGATGAAACCAATAAAAGATGAAGAAGGAAATCTAATTACGAAAGAAGAGAAACAAAGGAAACGATGCGCTGATCACTTTGAAAAACTCTCAGACTGACCACAACCACCTGCACCACCTGCGGCTCGTCTAAAATACCACCAGCAGCCCAGCCACAGAACCACAAGTGAACACAAATCCTCCAACAAAAGTCGAAGTCCTGAATACCGTAGAGCTACTGAAATGCGGGAAAGCAGCAGGACCAGATGGAATTCCGCCCCTTAACACTGAAAACAGACACACAGACAACAACAGACATGCTCACACTACACCACTTTTGCAGAAGGTCTGGAAAGAAGTAAAGGTACCTTCTGATTGATTGGAAGAAGGGCTACCTTGTCAAACTCCCGAAGAATGGCGATCTAAGTGTTTGCAAGAACTGGTGCGGAATCACGCTTCTGCCCGCCCAGAGCAAGCATAATATTAGGCCGCATCATCCTGGAGAGACTAAAGGATGCGCTGGATTCAGGACGTACAAATCATGTGCGGAACGAATTGCAACGCCACGCTACACATCATCATAGAACAGAGTATAGAATGGAAGTCAACCCTCTACCTCAACTTCGTCGGCACTGAAAAGGCCTTCCTTCAATACTGCCGACCGAGAAGTAATTTGGCAGTTGCTTCAACACTACGGAATACCACAAAACTTTATTAGTCTCATTCAACAACTATCTGAAGACTCCACATGCCAAGTAATCCACAGTGGGAAGCTCAGTGATGCCTTTGAAGTGAAGTGAAGACAGGAGGGAAACAAGGCTGTCTACTATCACCCATGATATTTCTGATTGTAGTGGAATGGATGACGCAACAAACAGTGAGGAGCTAGAAATGGGATGAGCTGGCTGCACCGGTGAAGAGATTCTAGAAGATTTAGATTTCGCCGATAACCTGTGTATAATGCCACACAAACTTGAAGATCTACAGGCAAAAACTAACAAGTTGATAGAAGAGGCGAGGCAGGGCAGCGAAGTCAGGACTTCAAGTGAACGTAGAGAAGACAGAGGTGATGAAGATACCCAACCAAGGCCAGCCAGGATCGTAAACACAGCAAGACAGGCGTCGATTAACCCAAAACCAGTGTGGAGATCTTCTGCACTCAGCAGTGGAACAACATCCAGATTTTCAACACCAACGTCAAGTCAGTGCTTCTGTATGGTTCAGAGACTTGGCGCGTCACGAAAGTGATTTCCAATAAACTACAGACATTCATCAACAACTGCCTACGCTGGCTCGCTACTGAAGATCAGATGGATTGCCAGAAACAATAAGCAACAAGGACCTCTGGCTGGCTGGCTGGCTGGCTGTCAACGAACCAACCAAGAACCCATCGCTCAACAAATATTCAAAAGGAAGTAGAGATGGATTGGGCATACACTGAGTGGACCATCCGGGGACATCATGCGCCAGACCAGGCACTCGAGTGGAACCCAGATGGGAAGCGTCAAGTTGGGCGTCTGAGGCGAGGGTGACATGGAGGAGATGGTTTGAGGAAGAAATGAGAGCTTCTGGGCTGTCGTGGAAGCAGGTTCAAAAGTAAGCAGAGAAGAGAGTGCACTGCAGACGTGCTACTGAAGCACAATGTTCCAATAGGAACCCGAAGGATAAATAATAATAAATATAAACACGTCAGCATTTCACTCTCTTCTCTACAGTCATTTCAACCTGGCTCCAAGACTACCTACCAGCTTTCATTTCTTCTTCACACGATCGCCTCCATGTCACTCTCGCCTCGGACGCCCAACTCGATTCAAGAGCTTTTTGAAGTGATCAGCGCATCGTTTCCTTTGTTTCTCTTCTTTCGTAATTAGATTTCCTTCTTCATCTTTTATTGGTTTCATCTGTATTGATCTCTTCACAGATAGTAAGCTTGTTATTTGATACAATGTGTCGTGCAAGTGTCTTTTGTCTTTACGTACACTCTTCTTCACTTCTTTGTCCAGTGTTTTATACTTTGTACCAGTTCCTCTTCTTGTTGTTCATCCTTGTACTGCACTGGTTTATCTTCTGCTTCACCATCCGCCTCTCCCTGCTCTATGGGCTTCCACGTGTCCGTTGAGATCCATTCCATTCCTTATTTTCTTTCTTCTTCCTTCCTAATACGGTTATGCAGGTTTCTTTCCATATAGCTTTCAAAGAGTTCCAGTGCTCATCACACAGGTTTCTTCAGGATGTTGCTCGATATCTCCCATTTCGTCTTGATGGCTGGTTGACGTGAAGACGTCCCTTGTAGTTTCGTCCTTCATCTTCCGTTCACGGTGTTGAACTTGAACTGTGGTCTATTACCAACTTCCTTGAAGGCTTCCAACTTGATTTGGAAGGTTCCTTGCACTATATAGTGGGTGATGTGATCCCACATCTGCTCACTTTCTTCATCCAATCTTGTGTCCAGTAGGCTGACTGCGTATCCACTTTCTTCACATTCAAATGAAGTCAATCTGATTTTTGGCGTAGTGTGTCCATCTGGTCAAGTCTAATCCATGTCGCTGCCTTGTGAATATCCTTGTGTTTGTACGCACTGCCTCTAGTCACCAAGACATTAAATGTGCGGAAGCCTGCAAACAGTTCTCCATTCTCGTTTATTTCACCGAGCACTTCTCGACCCATGATTGGTTCTCTTCCTGTGTTGTCCCCTACCAGTTTGACATTCATGTCACCCCACCCAATAGAATGGATTGTGATGTCGCCAACTGGGGTGGTGTCTTGTCCAGTACTGATTGCAGTTGTCTGTAGAACTCCTACTTCTTCTCTTCATCTGCATTTATGTAGGCGTGTAGTGTGGCGTAGCACTGTATGATCGTGACTTTCCTTCCTTCCTTTTGAGTTGAACCTTGCTGTCATGACCCTGATCGTTGAGGAGATTGGTTCCCACTGCATGAGAGCCTTCAATGCTGTTGGGAACATCATGATAGCCATTGCAAAACTCAGTGTGCTCGTGGTTGTCGTTTGGGCGACAATATTGGAGTAGATTATTGATTCTCCAGTTGACAGTTGGGAGAGTCCACTTCCATTCCATCCACTTTCGCGGATTCTAAGCACTTCTACGCCGTACCTTCTCATCTCGTTTGCAATCTGGGTAGCCTTGTTAGTTTCAAACATGTTTGAATATTCTATGTCCCCATTCTTTTGCCTTCATCGAGAGAAGAGAAGACACATCGGCCGATTGGCTTCCCGGAGGCTTTCACAAACCGGCGTCATTTCGCCTCTCCGATTCCAGTGAGGAATGAGTTTGTTTTTGTTTTTTATATTTTTTGTTTGTGCTTTCAAGTTTATTTAGCGGTTGGATTTGTTTTACGGGTAGGGTTGCTAGCTCTACGTCCAACACTCCCTCATTATGTGGGCTTAGGACCGACTAGTAACTGGTGGCCCAGTTGACTAGGCGATGTACTTTGCTGGTAGAAGCATGGACTGTAAACGTGACTTTTCGTGTGAGTTGTATGTTCAGAAGTGTAATAAATACCTGCTTTATAGTTAATGTGAGAAAATCAAAGTGATGTTAAGGCTCTTGAAATTGATCTGCAATTGTTGTTTAGGTCAGTCTGTCGAAATTTTTGATATAGTGCCGTTGAGAAATGGGAAGCATCATTTCTAGTCATCGGCTGCTTGGGTAGAAGTGTTTTTATTTGAGATTCGATTTCTGTTTGTTTATGGACAGAATAACCTTATGGGAGGATTCTGTGCATGATGTAGCCAATTAGATTGTGTTACTCTACTTTTAGCCTAAGGCATTTTTATGTATGTGTTATCAAATGAATTGGTCCTTGCAGTCACAGTCAGCCTTTATCTTCTGGTGTTTGCGTGACTCAGTGAAGAATAAGGCACTGAGATGGAGTGGTCATATTGGCATTCAGTTCTAGTGTATCACTGTGTTCAGTATTGTTATTACCTGAGTCTTATTCCACTTGGTCACTTCAAATCTTTGCCACATTCGACACGATGCAGCAACTAAGACATTGGAAGTCGCCTTCTTCATGGATCTAATTTTCTTCTTAATACACATTGGGTACTGTACTGACACTTTACCATATCTTTTTATTGTTCAACATGTATAACGATAAAATGATTTTTGAGTGACGTTTAGCCGCGATTCGATCCGTAAGACATCACACAATTCTTCTTGCAATTGCAAAATCCCTCTTTAAACATACGTTGTGCTCTTGAAATTACTGCACACTGATTGGTGCTTTGTAATAATATTTTGACCAATCACACGAGAGTATTGAGGTTATCAGACATTCAGTTTATAGTGTTGAGACTATGACTTCCGTATGAAAAGGTATAAAAGTGGCTGAACACTGCATAGCTTATTGAACATCTGACAATGATATTCCTTCTGTTTATAACCATTTGCTTTGTAAATGCTGAAGTGGATTGGAGCAAGCTAAGTGATCTCGAGATTCTACTACATCTTCACAACCAGTATCGTGAAGATCGAAACAAATGTAATGTTAGGGGTCTTGTCCCTGCAGAGGAAGAACTGAAACCTCTTGTAAGTTAAATTACTAGTATCTAGAAGGAAGGCGAATATGACCTTGAGTTGTGAGCTTATATGAATTTACTCGTTGATTTTTCACATTTACTCAAGACATGGGATGAGGAGCTGTATGATGATGCTGTACAATGGAGTAATATGTGCGCTGGCTACTCAAATCAGGTGCTTGAAAGGCGTGTAGGAAAATGGAATTCAGTCGGCCAAAATGTAAAGGTGGTCAGTGAAATTGCAGAGTAGGTCTTAAATACTTCCTCCAGTCTTTAACTGCTATCTGCACAGTGCTGTTGCTTTATGGGAAAGAGAAGGTGATTATTACAACCATACATGGAATACCTGTCAGGATGGTCATTTCTGTGACAATTACAAGCAGGTTAGCAGGTGTTGCCATTTTCTATTCTATTGTCTCAAATCATAGCTAAAACTATCATTGTATGCTTTTGCCTTCACTGGTTCAGAGTATTTCTGCATTTTATCATTCTGAAATTAACCCCTCTAGATTGTTCAAGCTGAAACTACCCACTTAGGATGCAGTTATAATTCCTGCGAAGATTTCAAAGGTCCTCGAAAGTTTTTAGTGGTGTGCAACTATGCATCTGCGTAAGTCGACATCATTTGAATTTGTTACTATTTTGTGGTACATTGGCATCTGTCTTTCCTTCAGGTGATTTCACACTGAACATCTTTGTCACAGTAACGAATTTCTCATATTCACTTATCAATTTGTCGATTACTAAACTTTTTGCATACTTATTGATTGTTCGCTTACATTTTCTGGTCAAGTGAACTCATACGCCAATTGCTAGACAACGGATTGGAAATTCTTCTGTGTTGTACACATTTATTATTGATTTCAAGGGAATGTGCAACACGAGTCAATATGGATTAGATCGCCATTGAAATCTTTGTAGCACTGGAGAGCTGCTTCGTCCCAGTATGAGATTCCTCAGCAGTGGGCTACGATCGGGCTACATAACTAATGGACAGCAGTAGGAAAGCATGAACTGCTTTATGTCAACCTAGTAACTGACTGTTAGCGAGTTATCCATGAGACCTGACAACCTTGAGTTCGATCCCTTCTGAGGTTTCCGGTGTCCACTGCTAACGAATCGCATATTAGTGAAAAGCAACTGTCCACTCCTCCTAGGTAACCAGTTTTGATCGTTCAATTCTGAGGACTATGAAAACAGAATATATTTTCCTAATTGTAATTCATATTTAGTCATGAGATATCGATAAACTAATGCCCTAACAATATATTCCAAACCTTAGTAAGACGTCCTAGCCTTATGTTCGCATTCTTCCACATCGAACAGAAATTTAACTCGGAACTCTATAATCAATTCAAAAAGTTCTGAATGAATGTGAATTTCCGAGAGCAAATGACTGTTATTTTGAGTTTGAAGTAATAAGTGAAGCAGAGTGTTCGTTGTTCATCACAGGAGAAGTCGAATTCATAAGTTCATGTCAAAAATTCCTCTGAGATGAAGCCAAATATTTATTCTGCTTAGCACATACAAAATAACCAGACGTTATTCTTTCGTTGTAACGATGGATATCACAAGCAATTATACTAACTTATTCATTCATTCATTCATTCATTCATTCATACCTCTAGATGCCCATGGATTCATTTTATGAGTGGCTAAAGATGCCTGACGAGGAAATTGTGTAAATATGAATTCATTAAAGTGGAATAGTTTAGAGTTAGTTGAAAGTAGGCATACTTCAGATTAGACTCCGTTGAGAATTACACAGTTACTAACTGTGCAACAATATTTCCTGGTGGGTCAATAGGACTGATTCTACCTGGCCTACTCAGATATCTGTAGAAACATTCCAAAATAAGTACTCAAAAATTTCCTTTTTACTGATTATATGCACATTTGTTCGATGACCTATGTCGAAATCTTTAGTCTGAGAGTAGTATGAAGAGAAATTCGTTATAACAGGTTGAGTGAAGCATTTCTTTTTTGACTTCAGGTTAAAAGGTGGCCAACCATACGTTGACGGAACCAACGGAAGATGCAAGAGTGTAGATGGTCAGCAAACTGCTACTCAACCTGAATCATCAAACAACTCTTCTGTGACTTCTTATTGAAATACTTAATTACTTAAATAAAATAAATGTAAAACAGTTGATCGTTATTATTTTATTATATATTATTATTATTATTATTATTATTATTATTATTATTATTATTATCAAAACACGAACTCGGTGCAACATAAGCACAAAAAGACGCAACATACAAAATAATAAAGCAGCATTATGATGAATATACAGCAGGCGGAAGAAATTATGGAGATAAAATGAAAGTGAATTATTAGTAAAGAAGCAGTCTGAAATATGTTCTTGTTTTAATTTTCAGTAGGAGAAGAAACAAATAAATTGCAGACTGGTCACCACTACTATAAGTGTAAAACTCTAGCACTGTGGTAGAATGTAATTCCATATTAGATTTCTTTATTTGATGCATAGCGCACAGTGATACAGTATTATTTAATTGATTACGTTTCGTGCAGAAATTATTGCTCATATTCATATCAGTGTAATCACACTTCTTTCAATATCTGATTTTATAGTCCTGTCACCTGATCTTTTTGTTTTTTGTTTTTTGATTGGTAGTAAAGTTTTCTATATCTCTGGTATAGGTGTTGCGTCATTCCTATTACATGTGTTGTGTGTGGATTCGATGAACAAAGATTCAGTAATTAATCTCTCTCTCCACCTAGCTACATTAGAATTAAGTACAGTGGTTTTGTCCCCCACTATTGTGTGGTATTGTGTTAATCAATGTAATGCAATGGCCGAGTGTTTTCCTAGATTATTGATCTTATTGTAGTCTGTCGTCTATGTTTAGCTAAATTCCTATGTTCTGCTAATCTAACTGACCCCGACCGGCTAGTTTGACCTATGTATTTGACCTCACAGTCATTACATGGAATTTGGTAGATTATATTATTTTGCCTAATTGGTTCTATGGGATCACTGTGTGCTATATATCAAATAAACAAATCTAATATGGTCACTAGTACTTTCGATTCTCAGCTACTTTTGTTATTGTTCCACACCGGTGATTTGCATGATTGCATGCACCCTATCCAAAGAATAGAGAGGCACCTACACATGCTAACTTAATACAGCTATCCTTCATCTCACGATGTCCTGTCATACTCTAGCCATCTCCCTATTTTCTTCTAACCAGTCCTAGACCAAGTGACCAGTGAATATTGTTACAGCCTTTAGGGCAACGTGCCTAACGCGTGTGCCAGTCAGTGAAACCAGTATTTCAAGATGACCACAGCTAAACATACATTATCTCACCTCAGCATTGTGTACGCAGTGTTTCTAGCAGTTGCGATCAAACCTAAAGAAACAGGGGTGATCGCAAACGTGTAGTCATCGGACAGGTTACACTTTACAGAAGTGTTCACTCCGACTAGTTGTAACTCAGAGCGTTTATGACCAGTTTAACGTCACGAAGGTGTCAAATTAGTACATCCCACTCTGACTTCTGACATCATTTTGGTAGTTGTTATTACAGTTCATAAAACCATCCATCAGAACTCAATCAAAGTTGATCGTCAACTGTGATACAACTAATTAGGCAGATGTATCTTCCAAACACCAGTCAAAATTCGTCTGAATATCTGCGACTTCCGACTGACCAAATTACACACCATTACACGGTTGTTCAAAAGATATCTATCATCTCTGATGACAGAATCATCTGGTTTCGCGACTTAAGTGGTTTCACAGCACGAGGTAAATGATCAGTGACAACCACTTACCTTCTTCTCAGAAAGATTGAAACCAACACATTGGCGTAATAACAGACTGGGTTCATGACTGTATAAGTGGCATTTAATCACTCTACGCACATACTAGAAGGCGCCATTTTTGCAGCTTTTACTAATCACAAAGCCTTCAATGGGTTGCAAACAGTTCAGTAGGAAACCTACTCTCAGAGGGAAATACGGTCACTGTGATCCACCATATTGAAAGCTCTAATAAGGGAATCGCAGACTCCTAAACACATAGGCATATTAGGAAGTAGTTTTTGTGTGTGGTGTGTTTTTAGTAACAAACAATTCTAGCTACCAAAGGATGATGTAGAATTTCTGAAGATAATATCATCGAAAACCACGTCTCCTTTCCTCTCAGAATTCGAGTTGAATGCTGTTAGAGTCATTTATGTAATCCTTCTGCTGAGAAACTTCATCCATCTATTCCAAGATTCATGACATACTGAATTTTGCCAAACTGCAGAATCCATCACATTCTGGAAGGAATGCCAAGCTTAAACTAATTGAGAAAATATTTGAAATTTAGAACAATGGCCAGGAAATTATCTGACTTGGCAATGAGTAAGGAATCATAGCTACACTAAAGCTCAACCTGATCAGTTTCCTAACACTGCTCTAAGATTCAAACATATTTACACCAATATTGTCGGGATACCAACCTCCTTCAGATAATTTGCGTCATGTTTTTACGTGTTCGAAGGGGTGACCCGTAGAAGTCTTATTGCTAAACATTCCGGTAGAAACAGTAGCCAAAATACTAGTAGAAAATTGATTATCTACTACTGATAGAACAAGAAAGTTTGAAAGCTGCTTAATATAACGACTAATTGGATCATTTATGATAAAACACATATGTACCACGCTGTTTTGATGCCTTTCGATGACACTGTTCAGTGCTTACACATACAACTTTGATCTACTCTTCGACACATACTGATAAGTTAAAAGTGTTCCACTAAACAGTCCGCATTTTCTTACTGCTATCAATTCACAAAGCAGTTCGACCATCATTTAACCTCTAAGAATTCATACTACAATGAAACAGTGACGCAGTTCTCCAAGGTCTTCAGATTCTCATACTGAGACGAGACAGCTGTGCAGTGTTCCTAGAATTTCAGTGGTTCCTCAACTGATACCAGTCCTTGATGAACACTGCCTTGTAATCATTTGACCTACTCAAAGCCCACAATCGAATTAACAGAAGTTTAGTGGATCACTTATAACTTGTCAGTATATGTCAAAGTGCCCAGATTTAAGCTGAGAAAAGCAAATAAATGCACAGATACCAGAAGAGCTTTCATCCCAAAGTATATCACCACGCCCAACTCATCGTTTCCCAGTTGGCTTCATCTCGAGGTCCCGTCATGGCCTGACCTGGTGTGTGATGTCCTCAAACGGTCTTCTCAGTGTATGTCCAATCCAGTCGAATCCAATCCATCTCCACTTTCTTCTGCATATTTGTTGTGTGATGAATTCATGGTTGGTTCGTTGCAGCTAGCCATTCAGCCAGTCAGAGTTCCTTGTTGTTTATTCTTTCTCACTATCTGATCTTCATCTTCAGTATCATCCATACTTCAAGTGTTATCAAAAGTACCTTTATCGTTTTCATCATTTTTGTTTATTCATTATATTTAGTCTGATGTTCAAATATTCATCCTTCCAAACTGTTGGCTG